AATTTAACACATTTGTTTGTCTTTGCAAGTAGTGACAGCAATATGTTTGGAGAAGGAATATTCTAAGTGAAAACATTGTCAAATTAACCATGTATTGGGCAGTTTAATGTCTGCTGTTTACTTTGGAGGAAGAAATAGCAAACAGAAATACAGCAGTCGGAGAGTCAAAGCAATAGATTTATTTTCTAAATTAGAGGTCAAACAATTTAAGCTATCAGTTTTTCAAGGCTAATTTAAATGTTTATATTAGACAAAACAGCATTATAATTCTGAAGGAAGTGCAGAAGAGGAGGAGGAAGAAAGAAGTTACAATTCGAATGTTTCCTCAGTGAAGTCTGCAGACTTGTAGACACAGAAAACAATGTAGGGTTTGTTAAACTATGCTCTGGATGGCATCAGCAATGGGTGTCCTTTTGATACTCAAGGTGTAGTAGTGAATCTGTTTTAGACACGTTTTAGACAAAGTTGATAAGATATGAAGGCAAAGTTGTTGAAGGTGAATTTGAAGGCTTCCGCACTGGAAAATCATCCCAGAAATGTCAAGGGAAGTGCACACCTCCAAAAGGAGATATGATAGAATCAGCATAATTTCTTAGGTTGAGGAAGGGCCTTCCATAATCAAAATGTAGCTAGTTTTGCAAAATTAAGTACTGCAGTGAGTCTTCATGCAAATACAAGGTTTGTTTAATACTGTCTTGCCCAAATTGTGGGAAACAGCATATTTCCATTTTTCAGAAAATGAACAATTTGGGGAAGGGTGGAAAGCAGAGGAACCAGATTGTCTTCGCCACTTTAAAAAAAAAAAAGGCCTCAATATTTCATGTTGGTTTTCCCTCCAAGGAGTTCTCACTGGGAACACTCTCCCATGTTTGTTTCATGTGACCATTTCAATTGCCAATTTTTCATTTGTGTGGCTTTTTATTTAGACACTGTATGGTTTGTTTCTGGGTGGGCAGTTATGAAACTCATCTGAGTTTCTTTATGTAATCATACTCTATTGAGAATTCAAGTCTTAGAGAAAACTGATAATATATTCTGGATTTCACATGCTACCTTTTGTTGTTAAAATAATAATAATCATTTACTCAATAATAATATTCACAGGACTTCAGCTAGACTGTTCATAAAATTAAACGATTTTGTCAAAACTTATTTCTAGGTTTTAAAAAAACAACCTACATTTGATTGGGCGCATAGAATACCTAGAGCTGGTTTGTTCATGCAGTAATAAATCTAAGCAGGATTGGCAACAGTTTTCTAAGCATTATCACTGCTTTTGCAGGATAGTCCCTGTGTCACCAGTGGTGAACCTGCTATTCTGATCTGAATTAGCAGAAATCAGCACAGACCTCATTTGAATTGCAGGTGCTGAATGCACCCTGGTCTAATTAATCTAGCATAGATCTGATGAATGCCCAAAATTATAGAGTTGCAGTCATGAATATGGACAGTGCCTATTAAGTTATTATCTCTGTATTCTGAGGCAATGACCAGATGCCAGCATTCTCTGCGATTGTCAGCTGGGCTCTGTGTTTTCAACATTTGCAGCATAACACAGCATAGGGGTTCTGGCAGCAATGTGAAGCCCTAATTCAGGCTTTCATAGACATGAGGGATAATGATTCAGCATTGCCCAGGGTGCTTACTCAGTTTTGGGGGAAGAGCAGGATTATGGGATGGGGAGGACCATTGCTTCAAAATTATGAAGCACTTTCAGAGCACAGCAGTGGAGAAATGTGACCCACATTTTACGTGGAGAAATGAGACCCACGCCCCACCCCCAGGTATTTTGTTAATACTGCTGGCATTATTTTTTTCCATTAATTCCCTTGCATCTCCAACCCTGCCCTACTTGTCATGTAAGATGTTCCTTTTAGTTGCCATGGTTCTAGACTGCTGTTCTGTGTCACACAGCCATTAAAAGGAACCTCCAATAGAGGGGGTTGGCTCTTTATTGGCTAAATACTAAACTGGTTTCATTGCAAAAGGTCATTTTGGCAAAGCTTAGCAGATACTTCTTGTTGCGAAGTTGCTTCAAGCTGTTCAGAAATGCAAGTTAATCACCTGCTTTTTAATCTGTTCCTTCTAGTAAATTTACTTCTGTGTATCTTGGAAAGGCCTCTCTGGATTTGAGTCACAGTGGCTTTAAGACATAATTAATATTTGTAAACTGTTGTGGCATCTTGGGATCAAAGGCAACTGCTGTTTTCTGGAAAGCTGCACTTCATTTTTTACATTGGTGGACTATGGTCTTATGTAGGTCCTTCAAATGCAGCACAGCTTAGTAAGGCATTTCTTTGGGGGAAATTAAGTGCTGTTGGTGTGAGCAAATCAAGGAGGAAGGGAAAGCCTCTCCTTACCAGAAGCTCTCAAAAGGTGGTGGCAAAGGCAAGGTAGGAATACCAGTGCTTGAGATTACTGGGAATCTTTGAACATTAGCTCGCTTCTTGTAGATTTCCTGCATAAAGTGGGACTGGTCAATGGGGGAAATTAGTGCAAATATAACATTCCTGTGAGTTTAAGAGATTTGTATGAATTTGGGAAGTTTAGTGACACAAGTTTGACAATTTATGAACATTTTTGTAGATACGTACTTGCAGTTATGTTCATACAGAGCATCCTTGCATGTTTTGTAAATAATAACCAAATAGACACCTTTATACAAGGGTTGGCTAAGTCAGCGCAGTCAAAGTATGGAATTGCTGACTGGCAGCCAGTGCCCAGGGACATCAGTGGTCCATCAGAAGCACGTTGAGGACCTCTGGCTAGTCAGAAGATGTGTGTTTATTCTGGCACACTGCTGCCTTTTGACACATGCTGGTAAGGATGGGCTGTCCCCTTTCCTTTGATATGCCTGTCAGACCACACTCTCACAGGTGTCTGACTAGCTTGCTTTTTTTCTTTTTTTGTTTCCCCACATTAAAGAGTGCAAAACTCAGCGCTCTTCCTGTGTGTGTATCCCACACTGTCTCTGGAAAAAATGGCATCTCCTCCTCTGTTTTATTTTTGTTTTAACTCATGACTAGCTTTCTCCTCTCTCTGGTTGGAAGCAGGGAAATAAGGACTAATAGCCTTGCAATTTTCCTTGCAAAAGATGTGTCTAACAAGATTGCTACTGGGTATTGAGTCTTTAACAATACTTCTAGCCCCATTCACTTTCTGCTGACTTTCTACTGCCTCCCCAAATCATACAAGACTACAAGGAGCCACTTGGCAAGATTGAGAAATGGTGGCCAGTATAATGTTAACAATAAGCAGATGACACTCAGCTCTGTATCTCCTATTCACTTGATCTAGACCCAAGCATAATAGTCCTTGACATTCATCTGGTCCTTACGGTGTGGAAGTCAGCTGGACCCAAACAATGTTGACAGAACTGAATAGTAATAGTGCAACCATTGATATACATATAATAGTCTTTCCAGTTACTCCTGTTTTCAGCAGCTAAGTTACTATTTCTATTTTTTGTGCTTTCATGGTTCTTTGAAAAATATATAGTGGATCAGTTTTTACAAGGTTACCTGTGTCAAAATCCCAAAACCATGCAGCAAATTTAGTTCAAGTGCCTTCTATTGCTATAGCAATTACCCCACATAGAAAACTAAATGTTATGGATATGGAGCTGTACCTTAATCCTCACAAGATTTTCATATGCAGGCTTTTGATTTGCCTTGTTTTGTGTTTTAGAGGAGAATCAAATTAGTTTGAAGTGATAACAGTCCAGAAATGAGTTTACCATGTCGGAGAGAGCAGATGGGTCTTTTCCTGTCAGACATGTTTTCCTTACCAATATACTGAGCTATTTCTTGCCTCACTGGTGAAAAGAGACAATTGGATCTATCCTGTGTCCTCTCCCTTTGGGAAAAAAGCAGCCTGGAGGGATCTTGAGAAGAAAAATAGCTTTCAGGGACAGATATAAGCCCTTGTTCATGCATCTGTGCCTTCTTGTCTAGGCTGCAACTTCTGGCAACTGTTTTGAGGTATGTGTAAGTTAGAGGTACAAATATAAACTGATGGGGTCTGAACTAGGAATGAATAACCAAAAAAGGGATCTTGAGGTTGTGGTTAACAACTCAATGAAAATGTCAACCTAGTGCATGGCTTCTGTAATGAAGGCAAATGTCACATTAGGTATAACTTGCAAAGGAACTGAAAATAAAGTTGCTAGTATCATAAACCCCTTATGCAATAGTTTGACTGCTACTAAAGTGTTGTCTACAGTTCTGGTCACCAAAGCTGAAAGAAGACATTGTAAATTTGAAAAAGTGCAGAGAAGGCAACTAAAATGATTAAGGTATTGGAACAACTCTCCAACACCCATTGGAGAATTTACAATAGCTGCAATTGTTTAGTTTAGAAAAAATGTGAGAAAGAGGAGAAATGGCAGAGATGTTCAGAATTTTGCATGGCATGGAGAAAGTGGAGACATTTTTCTGTCTCTCCCATAATCCTAGAACTCAGGATTCAGGACAGAAAAAAGGACACACTTCACACAACATGTAGTTAATCTTCCTTGAGATGCAGTGATGGGCACCAACTTTTAGAGCTTTAAAAAGGGTTTGGACCAATTCATGGAGGAGCAGGCTGTCAGTGCTAGACTACCCTTAGTTTCATCTAGAATGACTTTTCTTACATTTTTAGGTTCTTATGTTCAGAACCTCCTTCAACCTGAGGGCACCAACTAAGTGATCAATGGTTGGGGAAATTGGTTATTGTCTTCTGGAGAATGCCAGAGGATCAGAGTGGGATCTTATGAGAGTTGGAGTGGGACCTCTGGCCCTCATGAGGTTCTGCAGACCTGGATTAACTTTCCAGAAATTATTCCTGGCTGTTAAACATATGAACATTGTTTCTAAAAACAATTCTGTATTCCATTCACTATAGCAATTTATTGCTTTTATCCCCAACCGGTATGCATTTTAAATGTTTTAATACCATTAGGACATCCTGTAGTATTTTTAGTTTCACATTCTTCTCTCTGCTGTCTTCTGCAATTTCAGGTTCTTTTTTAAATTGATTGTATTGAGGCTGGAACTCAACCATGGGAAGGAAGCTGGACTTGTCTGGTTTGACTGATGATGAAGCCGAGCATGTCCTTCAGGTGGTCCAACGAGATTTCACCCTCCGCAAGAAAGAAGAAGATCGCCTGAGGTAAGTCTTAAGTATGTGAAAGTGAGATTGGATTTCGAAGAGAAGCCTATTCATTCAGTGATATGCATTCTCTACGTTTGTCGGTAGTCTGAATATATTTGGATGTAACTGGATTAAGACTCAGACTTTAAAAAACACATTATAAAAAGCCCACCAGGGAGGCAGCAATCCTATGAGTGTGATACAGAAGATTGCACTGTTAAAGTGCTTATGAATAAATGAACAAAGTTCTCCCTTCCTTTGCATATTCCTGCTCACTCTTTATTGACATATTCTCTCAAACAGCTAGTATGACTTGAACATATATCAGTTCCTCAAAAGACTCTAATATTTCAGGTTGCATAAAAGCTTATGCTACTACTAGAGCTATTATGTATACTTTCCAGAGTTTGGGGACTGGGATATACAGATTCTTCAAGTTACAGGTATAGTAACTTCTTACAAGCCTAGATGATATATCCTGTTTTCTCCAAGGAAGACCTTCAGACACCTAGGTCTGCTCCATGCTTCTCATAGCTATACCTAAGATTTGATTTTTTTAAAAAAAGTATGCATCTAATGTAAAATGTCACTGTGACAAATAAGTGTATGTAAACACTTGTCATGCAAGTATATTAAACAGTGAATTGGGATTAATTGTAGTTCTTCCTCAAGTATTGATTTGATAAACTTGGGTTGGCTGCTGCACTTTGTTTGATACAGCTCTTACTGTATGATGCACACAGTGATAAGCTAATAGAACAGCCACGGGAGACTAGAAGTTAAAATGCAGTGAATCAGCTGAAGTGACAAACCTAGAATTCTATCTTAATGTATAGCATATCTGAAAGCAAGATTGTAGCAGGATTGGCTATTTGATGATCTTCGACACAGTTAAGTTTATACCTTGATTTTTTCCTAGTTTTGAAAATAGAGATATTTAAATCCTTGCGAGGTTATGTCAGTACTACATTACTACTTCTTAACAGTTTTCAGAAATCTGTGTCATGAAATTATTCTAAGATTTCAGTTTTCAGAAATCTTAGAATAATTTAATTCTATTCTAAGTCTGAATTCACACCCTATTTATTTTGTCTATATGCATTTTCTGCCTAGGTAGCTCACTTTAAATAATAACATAAAAGCCATCAGAAACAAACAGGTATTGACCACCTTATCTTACCTCCACTTTCTTGAATGCTATTGGTGGCTGGATGTATAAATATGGATTTGCAGATCCAATATCTTATTTTCTACATGGCCTATGTAGCCCTTCGTGGTTTTATACATGCAGAACTTAGAATGCACATCACAACCTGGCACATCACAACCTGGTTGGCACAGAACATCACTACAGGATGTATATGGGTTGTCGAATCACTGGTTGTATGTGCAAGCCCTGCACTATGATTTAATAATGCGTTATTAATCACAAACAATCCAGAGTTCAAGCCCAACAGTGGGTTCTCTTCCTGCATTAATTGTGGTTAACAATCCATAGTTAAGCATAGTACAGGATTTGCACATAACAATGACCTGCAATTCAACAACAACCATGCTCAACCCATACTCTGGGTAGTTGTTACATGTGAACCAGTCAGCTATAAAAAAGTTGCTGAGTTCTCCTAAATGTCTGCTTTTTCTCTTTCTTTATCCAGCTTTATTATGTCAAGAGATTTTGAATCCCAAGAGCTTTAATTCTTGTAGTATTGTGTTCTCATAATGATATTCTGATAATAACATTCTGTCACTCAGTCTTTGTAAAAAATATTTTTGCACAAATGCAGAAATACTGCAACTGTGGTAGCTCAGAAGAATTTATGGCTTATATGGACTAACTTATTTTAAAAGTACAACATGTTGAATACAACGGACATTGGATACTTTTAATTTTCCTTGCCTCTCTATGAACCATATTAAAACATATTAGTTGTAATAATACAGAAGTAAGATTTGCTGTAGGCATATGTTCTAACATAATGTGGACTTGAGTCACAAACTGATACAGTACAATTTGGTTTCCAGAGTTGTTATAAAGAACTGCTTGGGTGTGTGTGTGTGTGTGTGTGTGTGTGTGTGTGTGTAGGGGGGTGATAATAGGTGGATGCAAGCCCTACTTTTCAGATTGTGGGGACACTGCAGTGTCAGAGGTTGACAGGCTCTGGATTTTGAATCAAAGAATAGCATCAGCAAGTAGTAGCTCTAAAAAGACAGCATTTCACTGATGAATCCCCTCACTGCAATATTTGGAATCAAGATAGTGTCCCATCTGGTAGAATGTTTGTGTCCTTCTAAACGTTGTTGAACATTTACTGTTATCACATTGTTTGCCACTGCAAAAAGCTGTGGGATTCTTGTAAGTTTTTTAAATTAAAGCTGTAGATTTCTTTCTCTTAACACGGAAAATGCTAAAACTCTTTGCACCCTAATAAATTATCTACAAGTGGTGTGGGAGTGATGAGATCAGAAGGAATCATGAAATCTATTCAGTAGTTTAGTTCCTTCATCAAAAGCTTATTAAGCCTTCTATGAATGACACAGTATTGTGGGGGTGGGGATTGTGTGTGGTTTTTTGAATTTTAGATGAGTAGAGGAATAAGGAAATTTTGGAAATAGATATATATTCCACACACACACACACACACACACACACACACACAGAGAGAGAGAGAGAGAGAGAGAGAGAGAGAGAGAGAGAGAGAGAGAGACAGACAGACAGACAGACAGACAGACATACACATATATATGTAATAAACAAGATTGTACATAGGCTGAGGAGACAACACGTAACACACTTAAGGAAGACCATTACGGACCTATCCATGTGCATATAAGAAAAGGTAAAGAACAACCAATGCAGATTTATATTTGCTGTATTTCATTTAGTTAGTGGTTAAGAACTGCCTGTGTCAAAATACAAAACTCAGTGTTGTGAAATTGCTTTAGGACTTTGCTGTCAAATTCCTGTGAATGCGTAGTTACTAACTTGGTTGGATTTTGTTCTGTGATGGGGCAATATATTATGAGGTCAACTTAGAGCATTTTTGGTGAACTGTCAATAATTTTGAAATCTGCTTAATTAAATTTGCATTAGTTGCTGTTAATGAATGCAGAACTTTGAATTGGGATTTCAGGTGTTTCTTTGATGACATGAATCACACCCACATGCCTTCTATATAATACTGGTTTATATGCAACTTATAGTAAGAAGTGGGAAGTGCTTCCTTTAAGCATTCCTGCTGGAAAGGGTGTAGGAGTGTTCTTATGATTCTGTGTCTACCAAGTGACTCATTAATGCATCCATAAATAAGGCTCTTAATAGGCAGGAATGGGCTCAACAGTACTCAAAAAGGTTGGAAAAAATGAAGTCTACTTGGATAGTTTCACTATGTAAGCTAGAACAATGAGTTAGCATTATGGACTACTTAACTTCACTTTGGAGGGCAGGAAGTTGTGGCTGGTGATTATGCAAGCATAGTTGCAATTTTCAGCATAATTTGATGCCTAATTGTATCCCAAGCAATTAAATGATGCATAGCAATAACCCTGGCTTTATATAATAGCAGTCTGGTCCTAGTCATCTTATTCATTGAATCCAGCAAATGTTTTTCCTCATTAGTCTCAAAGTAACAGGCTTAGGTGTTTTTGCAGAAAAACTTAGTTGTTCCAATAATTTTATTTACAGTGTGATCCTAAGTCTCTTTACTCAAAAGTAAATCACCCTGCTAGAACTTCTTCCTTAGTAAGCACTTATTTATGATTGCATCCCTATTCTTGCTTACTATTCAAGGGTAAAATGTATTTTGCATTATTGATAAGCAATCATTAACAGAAACAAGAGACTCATGTGGCACTTTGTGTAGCATATTGGTGACCATGATGTTTTATGGGGAAGAGAATGAGATGAGATAAGTCCTGCTGCAAAGGACACTGGGATATCAGCTAGAGGACTGATGGGGAAGGACGTGGAAGTGAAGGCACAGCACAGCTGATCATTTGCTGGGGGCCTTGTGTGTCATTCTGCAGACATGTCACACAGTGTATCTATTCTCAGGGCGGCTTAGCATATTGTGCAAATTCAGCTATGAAGAACAAAGGAGGGAGAGAGAAATGGAGGTGGGGTAAAGAGGGAAAGCAAGTGCTAATATTTCAGTTATTTCACACTTTTCACACAAAATAAAAATACAGAGCTGCTAAAGTAAAAATTACTAATTTTGGAAAAAGGCAGGCTGCAAACCTGTGCTCACTTATGTGGGTGAGAGTCCTATTGAACTCAATGAGGGGTACTTTTGAACAGATACGTATACGCTCACCCAGTTAAAGGTGAATTATAAGCACAAATCTTAACATGCCCGTTGTATGTTGTATGGAAACTATACTGTGTTTGCACAACCATTTAATAGTTTGTTCTAAGATCTTTTGAGTTAACTTAGTATCGCTTTGTCAGCCATCACCTATCTACTAGACAAATTAAAAATAATTGTTTAGCTTGCTGGATGTAGCATACTTTGAGATAATGAAGAGCTGAAATGTAAAATCAATATTTAATTATGGATATCTTATATGTTCAGAGACTGGCTTTGCTAGCCTTACAGCTAGAATATACTTCTCTTTCTTTGATGGTTTACACAAATGCAGCTATGTGAGTTCAGTTTCCCTGACTAAAGCAATGAAAAGCTTTTCATGTATAAAATTCTATCATAGCAAAAACCTTGAATACTTTATTCCAGGTGTGAACAGACCTGTCAGATCTATTTTGCATGTTACTAGAACACCAGGATGTACAAAGTTGATCCATTGAAGCATATGATATGCATATACTTTGTAGTGGCTTATTTTTGGTTGGAAGTCACTGCTACTATAATTCTTTTTCTTGAAAAACCTGTGATAATGGTGGATACTCATGTACTTTTTATATATTTATAATTTTTATTTGATTTTTACCATCTTTCAAAAAAACCAAACATCAGCGAAAAACCACTGAATACAAAGCAAGAGTAGAAACACAAAAACAGATGCAG